TCTGGATTATCACCTGTATTCATCACTATCATCTCTGCACTCTTCACCTGGATTCACTGACCATCTAGTTCCTGCGTCAGCAACTGTCCAGAGACTATGTGTTTGTGTATTTGTGACCAAATGAAGAGTTAAGCCTAGTTCACACTACATGATTTTAAAATGTCGGGCTGAACTGTGCAGTTCACACTACATGACTTGCTCTCAGTGAAATCATGAGTGTTCAAGTTGTTTAGCTGTTCACACCACACAACACAACGTGATTGATCCACAACAGGAGGTAACTCACTACACGAGTTAACAACGCACTACATAGAGATACAACCACGATCGGATAGAGCATATCATTTGTGACTCAATGAGAGCTGTTTCAGTACTATAGTACGGTCTAAATCCTGAAAATAATCAAACAAATAACGAGTTGACAACAACACGATCCTATCTGGTCTAGAAACCATGTTTTGTCACGAAAAACCACGCAATAAAACGAACCAGAAATGACGCGAAACTGCAGAGAAGAACACAACACGCGAATATGCCATGGACGTCAGACAGAAACTAGTGCTGCACACTGTTTGCTCGACGATCTGCTCTGAGAAAAAAAAATGCAAAAAAGAAAAGAAAAAGTAAGATTTACCTGGTGTCCTCAACCCAACGCTATGATTGGCTGTACTCATGACATCACTGAGATTGAGTCGCGCGACTGCTCGAGATATCTAGCATGCTAGATATTTTTCTGAGCTCGGTGACCTGTCTGCGAGGTGTCTGCGAGCTGTCTTTGGTGCGTTGTTGGCTCTTTCACACTAATGGATTGGCGAGCGTTAATCGTCCGCTAATCGCCCGCGATTTGCACGTGATAACACCCTGATTTGTCGGCGAATCAACAATTTGCAAATCGGGCTTAAATCGGGCTTAAAATCACGTAGTGTGAACTAGGCTTAACTTGCATTATTTCTAGATTATGTACTAGATTTACTGTTTAACGTCACTCATCCCACTACTATCATATTGTTTACACACAATTACACGCATTAGTTCAACGTCAAGCTGATAAAAGTAGCCTATTATTGTAACATTGCAGTGGGAGTTTACATGAGTTTCCAGCATGTTGTGTGATGCTTTCTCCGGTGTGTTGAAAGTCTCAGTGTGGCTGTGTACCGTGAGTGCTTGCTCTTGTGTTCGAGCACGCGAAAGACCACGAGCGCTCTTGTAAAAATTGGCTGCAATCTGAAACATCACAGCTAGAGGCCAGTAAAAAATACATATAGCACCTTTAATATTGTATTAATATTATTTTTTTAATGCAAATTCGGCAAATTACCGTATCTTTAATGGTTACTTTACCATCTAAGGTGTAGATCCCAAAATATTTCCAGACACCACTTTTTAGATGAATTGGGCTCGTAATTGTCCGTTCAGGCTGGCCGTTCTGTGAGTTATCTTCTATTTTAAAAACAGGGTGGCTATTGGCTATTATTTGCTTGATTTGGTCATGGGCCTACACTACAAAACGTTTACAGCGCCTGCTTCTGGATGAGATGGCAAACAATAAAATAAAAAAACAATTGGTCTAATCATAGAGTGTAAAAAAATTTGCTACACATGGCACTTTAAAAACCGGATAGTTTATTTATAGTTCAGTTTCGAATATTTTACGTCATATTCGAATGCAGAATAAAAAGTGACCGCCCAAGTACCGACACTGCAGCTATCTCTGATGAACTAAATGTTGTTAGTTTCGAAGCAGGAGATACCAAGGACTCGCCACCTCAGTCTCACGCTTTTGAGGAGCTTGTTGAGGTTGTAACGAGAGCGGTCGAAAGATTAAGCATCGATTGGCTGGCAGAAAAGCTGTACGTTCGTTCAAGAAGCAAACTAGACGAACGCTTCCTGCCCTCTCATTCACAAACTCAACCCTAGGGCCTTCCGTTTTTCCCCGGTCTCCACACCGAGGTGTCAAGATTGTGGGATAAACCTGTTTCAGTTAGAGTATATAATCCACAAACATCACACTATTTCTCTATCACAAACTATAAATAGCATGGCTATGGGGAAACGGCAAAGATGTTAGAGACTCTTGCGAGCTATCTCTCCCCTGAATCAGCATCTTCCCCTATGATCTTCCCTCATTGCCCTGGTATTACCCACCAAGCCAGTCAGAACAACATCGCCTTTGGTAGGTAATGCTTATTCAGCTTCTGGTCAAGCAGTAGAATGTGTCCACACTATGATGCTCCTGCAGGCCTATCAGGCAGGATCTTGATGAGGGTGGGGGAATTGGCCTGAATGCGGTTTGCAAACTGCGTCAGGTCAAAGATTTGTCTCTCAGCTGCCATCAAAGAGCTGGCAAAAACCATTGGCCGGTCTATGGCAGCCTTGGTGGCCACTGAGAGACATGGTATACAACGAAATTTGACATCTCTCATAGAAATCAAGCTGTATTCATATTACACATGCCAAGATATACCACGTTAAAACAATAAAAACAACACACATTTTAAAGTGTCTTGTGCATGTTATTGCAACAATATGGCATACACGTCTGTTCAAAATTATTGAAGCAGCTGTGGGGCGATAGAGGCAGGGAAGAGGGAACTCAGTTCAAAAATGGCCATTGGATAAAAGCTGTTTTGGAATCTGGAAGTGTGAGACTACACTGAAAAAAATAATATGCTTTATCTAATCAATAAAATTGTGGCAACATATTACAAGCAATATTATTAATTAAATTGTACAAATTAGAATTAATTAGAATGTCAATTTGATTAACTATTACACTCTAAAAAATGCTGGGTTGTTTTAACCCAACTTTGGGTCAAATATGGACTAACCCAGCCGTTGGGTTAAATTTTTACATTACATTTTTAACCCAACATTTCGGGTTTGTCCATATTTGACCCAAAATTGGGTTAAAACAACCCAGCATTTTTTAGAGTGTAGTCAATTCTAATTTGTTCAATTTAATAAATAATATTGCTTGTAATCTGTTGCCACAATTTTATTGATTAGATAAAGCATATTAATTTTTACAGTGTATAGCGCTCTGCACTCAAAAAAATAAACTGTTGAACGAACTTAATTAAATTAAGGAAAGGTTTTCCATGAAATTGAATTACATTTTACCAACAAATTCAAATTAGTTTGAAATAATTTGTTGTAATCTTGTTGTATGAATTTAAATTAATTTAGTCATTCCTACTAGATAACGTTTTGTCAGGTTAACTAGTAACTACATTTAGTTTTTTCCTGCCTTAACTCACCAACATTATAAGTTTAGTTATTTTGACTCTATGGTCACTTCTAATGATAAACACTTTTAAATTATTTTTTACATAGTAATATTATATTACTTGTGCAGGACTGTGAGTGAGATTTACACATATATGCATACTGCGCACCCACAGCCTGGACAGGAGAATTAAAGCACATATAGTGTAATATTGAGTCTGAACACAATGCATAATGGTAACCACAAAATTCAAAAACATTACAGAAAGTACTCTTAAGTTTCTAACATAACTGAACATAAAACACTAACATTAACTAACAATATCGTTCCATTTACTGAAAAACACATAAAATAACACTTTTTCCATAAATTGACCCTCTTAATGCAGTCCATTGCAAAGCATGCTGGGAACTACAGATCCATTAGCCTGTAAACAGTCAACAACAATGATTCATGTAGATTTCACACAAATGAATTAGGTTGATTGAACACAATTAAATTAAGTTGTGACAATATTAAACAATCATGTTACTTTAGCTTATTTTAATTAATTATTTTAACAAGAGGCCAAAATTCATTTTTTGAGTGACATCCATTTAAGACGAATGTAAAATATTCATGTTGACTCAATTAAAAAAAAATTGGTGAACCAAATTTTTAAAAGATTACATTGATTACATTTAATGAAATTAAGCTGGAATCACTTCTATGAAGGATTGTGTCGTATATGCTCATTTTAATTAATGAAATTGAACAAAAAAACTAAAATCATTTTTTGAGTGTGTAGCGTCTTCCAGATGGGAGTACTGCAAACAGATCATGAAAGGGATGAGTACTGTCCTTAATGATAAACAGAGTATTGCTTCTTGTGCTGCCCCGCAAAAGACTGGGGACAGGGAAAGCACTCTGAGGGGTAAGACGGATCTGAGGACTGCAGATTCTTTTATTATCATTTGCTAGATTGACGCCCCGTACATTCCTTTGGACATGACAACAAAGAGCAGTCGCATTATCAGACTGAAACAGGATGGAACATGCTGTCACTCTTTACTAGTACTAGTACTCTTACAGCTAAATGAGCAGTCTGAGATGAATTAGAATAATTTGGAAAATAATATCTCTTGCTTTTGCAAAAATATTATGCATTCATGGATTTCATACGTTAAAGTCACAATAAAACATCCTTATAGACACCACTGACTAAATTTGTTACTCATGATCGATAGAACATTTTTATCTAAAGGCTTCGGTGTGAAACATATAATTGTCTGGTTAGAGAAAGCTACTACAGATAGCCTATAGTTTCATGACTGATAATAGTCCATAAGTATTGTTGGGACAAATGACTAGACCTACCTTAACATTTAAACCTTTACTGTAGCCGTATTATTGAGCAATTTTGATTACTAATTGAGACTAGTAGAATATAACAATAAGACATGAGAAAGTGCGTCCATATCATCCCCATATACACTGATTGGCTCTGTCTCCTCTCCACCAATAAGCTGGTGTGTGGTGGGCGTTCTGGTTCTGTGTTTGGCGTTCACCACATTGGTGGTGGATAAAGAGAGTTTTCCCCTTCCATATATAAAGCGCTTTGAGTAGCCAGAAAAGCACTATATAAATATAATCAATTTTTATTATTATACTCTTGGCTGCGTTAAAGATATCACAGTGGGGTTAACCTCAGACCTGCATATTTTTCAATCAGTTTCTTCACTCATTTGGAAATAAGAGAAACAGTTAAATAATAAATAATTAAATACCAACACTCTTTATCTGGCATTTGGCTTTATTTTGATAGCAAAGCATAAGGTGTTGTGGACATCAGAGAGGAAGACATCCTCAGCACATAATAAAAAAAAATAAAAAAAAATTATTTAACCAAGACATTATCAACGTAAACACCCAACAGGTCTTTTAGGTCTCACAAAAACTGTCAAGAATGGGTCATATTTCACTCCTAATGAAAAGAAATAAAATAATAATAATAATTTGCTTAAAGAAAATGAAGTCTATCAGTGCATGTTACATAATGGGTTGTGCATGACATGACTGTGAGTTCACCAGGTTACATTTTGGGTGGTTATGGGTCACCATCCTCTCGCCCCAACCTTATTCTTTACTCTCTTGAATAAGAAAGGCAATCTATTAAAATAAAATGAATACCTATTAAGTTGTTTTGCACATTATTTTCATAACAAATAAGCATTTCCTCTTAAATTCTCATTAACAATTTATTATACTGTTATTTGAAAACCATGCTAGTATTTTTTGCATTGCCTTTTATGTTGGCTTAAAAAAAAACAATTTTTTATTGTTCTAACAAAAAAAAAATACAGTAATAAATTAATGAGAATCACCATTAAGATTTTTTTTTTCATTAAGAACAAAAATTACAAAAAAAAGAGGAAAGAATGGGAAAAAAGTAGAGCACGACCTTGGGGCTAACAATGTCAAGATCATGGTTTGATTCCCAGGTAATGCATTAACTGATAAAATGCATATCTTCAATGCAATAGACACTTTGGATAAAGGTGTATACCAAATGCATAAATGTAAAATAATGCCAAATACAAAAAAAAAAAAAAAAACTTATACAGATAGTTCTACCAAAAATGACAATTATGAAATGATTCCTTATGTAACATGCCTTTTAATGGTCAAAATAAGAGGCTTAATTTTCTCTATGTTTTGTTTTCTTTCGATATTTGTGGTGAAATGCTTGTGTGAGACTCACCTCAACAGTTTTAGTCTCTCATTATTGGCTATGGGCACACCTGTTTGCATTTAGTATCGCTACTGAACAGCACCAATTTTTGTAAAAAAGAATTGCAACATATTTGTGGTATGTATGTGGTGTCAATATACCTGCAGCTATTTTTTCCCCAAAAGAGCCAATGATAGAGTTAAACGATAAGACGCAAATGACAATACAACAATGCAGGTCTGTCAAAGTGTGACACTCCCTGTGTGGCGTAATAGGAGCTTTGTATGCGTTTCATTTCGCAACGTTCATGAAGGTCTTCGGTAGATTGACATAGCTGAAACTACTCAACCCAACCCTAAAACAGTCTCAACCTAGACATGTAACTTTTCCCAAACCGTCAGTAATAAATGGCAAGGCAGGTTATAATGAGAGGTCAGAGGTCAGGGACGCTTCATTGTTGCCTGTGGGCACCCCTGTTTGCAACAGGCTATCTTCATGCACGTCTTCATCATCTGATTGGACAACAGGAGTGTTTGATCCGTCCTCATTGGAGGCCTGACTGTCACAGGTGGAGCTTGAAGAGGTTGACAACATACGTGTTTTGATCTCACAAGGGTCAGAAATTCTTAAGGACACGTCATTTCTCCGCAATCCTTCTTCTTTTAAGTCAGTGTGACCAAGAGCTGGAGAACAAATGTATAATTAGTTAACTCTCGAATTCTATGGAATTTTACAAGATTTTTGCTCAGATCTGAGCCACATGGATTCAACATATGAGTGACTGTTTCTTTTGACACTTCATTGTTATTTGGTTACCAATAAAAGGGTTTTACTAGAAAGCATTCCTTTTTGGTGCTGTAAGCGATCTTTATTTAACAACACATAGAAAATGTTCTTACCACCTGTGATCTGAGAAATGACACCTGTCTCTGTAAAAGCCTTAAGCCCTGTTCACACGGACAGTGTTTAAATAGCTGGGATTGTTTAAATTGCTGCCCCCCCATCCTTCCCCACCCTACCTTACCCTACCCACCCTGTGCAATTGCACTGATCAATTTCTTTGGGACAGGGTTCGCACTTAAGTGGTTTGACGAAAGCAAATCGTGTTTGCTAGTGGGTGTTTCAACTTGACTGCAGTATGCAGCTGTATGAGGCAAATCATTGTCTATACTTCAGTGCTCACTGCATTACATCACTGTTTTTTTGTTTGTTTGTTTTTTGCATATAGTTGATCTAATTTCATTGTTGGTCTCTATCACTCATTTAGCCAGAAATCTTCAGAATCATATCGTACGTCTAACAGATGTATATGGCACATAATAGACACATGTAAAAGGGTCCTATGTTCATAGGGCCCTGTGTCCCCCAGTTTTTTTTTTTATGGTAAATAAGGAATACAAATGAAAAGGTTCCTATTTTCTATATACATCAACACACACCTGCCAAATGTGTGTGGATTTCAGCAGTGGTGTGTAACGCAATCATTACTCCTAGCCAATTTGGTGGGTTGAATTATATATATGAAGAGTTCAGATGCAAAAGCCTCTAAATGCCATTTGAAATTTTCTTCTTTAATGATGATTTTTGTCAAGCTTGTATATTTAAGTTCAGTGATTTCACTTAAATGGCAATGATAATTACCTATTAATTGTTATTTAAGTGAAATTACTGAACTTGAATATACAAGTTTGACAAAAATCATCATTAAAGAAGAAAATTTCAAATGGCATTTAGAGGCTTTTGCATCTGAACTCTTCATATATAATGTATGTATGGTCCTGTTCAAGACAATCTCCCAAACTCCAAACTGAATGTCAGAATGGGAAAGAAAGGTGATTTAAGCAATTTTGAGTGTGGCATGGTTGTTGGTGCCAGACGGGCCGATCTGAGTATTTCACAATCTGCTCAGTTACTGGGATTTTCACGCACAACCATTTCTAGGGTTTACAAAGAATGGTGTGAAAAGGGAAAAACATCCAGTATGCGGCAGTTCTGTGGGGGAAAATGCCTTGTTGATGCTAGAGGTCAGAGGAGAATGGGCCGACTGATTCAAGCTGATAGAAGAGCAACTTCGGCAAAAATAACCACACGTTACAACCGAGGTATGCAGCATTTGTGCAAGAAGCATTTGTGAAGCCACAACACGCACAACCTTGAGGCAGATGGGCAACAACAGCAGAAGACCCCACCGAGTACCACTCATCTCCACTACAAATAGGAAAAAGAGGCTACAATTTGCAAGAGCTCACCAAAATTGGACAGTTGAAGACTGGAAAAATGTTGCCTGGTCTAATGAGTCTCGATTCAGATGGTGGAGTCAGAATTTGGCATAAACAGAATGAGAACATGGATCCATCATGCCTTGTTACCACTGTGCAGGCTGGTGGGGGTGTAATGGTGTGAGGGATGTTTTCTTGGCACGCTTTAGGCCCCTTAGTGCCAATTGGGCAGCGTTTAAATGCCACAGCCTACCTGGGCATTGTTTCTGACCTTGTCCATCCCTTTATGGCCACTATGTACCCATCCTCTGATGGCTACTTCCAGCTTGAATCATTTCAAACTAGTTTCTTGAGCATGACAATGAGTTCACTGTACTAAAATGGCCCCCAGTCACCAGATCTCAACCCAATAGAGCATCTTTGGGATGTGGTGGAAGAGGAGCTTCGTGCCCTGGATGTGCATCCCACAAATCTATATCAACTGCAAGATGCTATCCTATAAATATGGGCCAACATTTATAAAGAATGCTTTCAGCACCTTGTTGAATCAATGCCATGTAGAATTAAGGCAGTTCTGAAGGTGAAAGGGGGTCAAAAACAGTATTAATATGGTGTTCCTAATAATCCGTTAGGTGAGTGTATATAAACATGTTTCAGTAGTAGTCTTTTAAAAAGGCATCTGAAATTATAAAATGTAGTGTTGTCCGAAATATATATTTTTCGATACTGAAATATCTGAAACACTTCCAATACTCATTTCCCTTAGAACAGATACACAATACCAGTTGCCTTTTCTTGTTCTCTCATCTCTCCTACAGCGGGTTGACACACAAACCCGCCTCCCCTTACTCACATTTGCTCCGGATGAATATTGTTGGTGTAACAAGGCTTGAATTTCAGCATGGGATTGTGCATATTGGGCATAATTTTATACATTACCCAGTCCTTCCAGAAAAATGCAGAGTTTCTTTGTGATTGTTGCAGTTTTCTGTTTCACAGCATTGCCAAATGGCTTTCAATATAAAAGGCCTAGAGTTGAGGAAACTAAACAAATGGTTGGAGTGATGGAATCACAAAAGATTATGGCTTTCTTATGTTAGAGTTAGAAGTTTATTATTAGGGCTCTGGGAAAATGAGTCTTTTAATGAATTAATTAAAAGGTTTACTTAATGTCTGTAACAGACCATTGAACTGGGGAACAGGACATAGGAACATATTTTGTTCATTATGAGTCATATACATTTGGGGAACATAAGACCCTGTGAACATACAGTAGGTATGCTTCCAAAATCGTCAACTCTCATTGAAAATGAGGTTGTTTTGTTGTTGGCATGCTACTTTGAATATAGTACAAACCCTGTGTAATTGCATTGATCAATGAAATTGTGTGGGACAGGGTTCGCACTTAACTGGTTTGACAAACAAATCACGTTTGCTAGTGGGTGTTTCAACTCGACTGCAGTGTGCAGCTGTATGAGGCAAATCATTGTCTATACTTCAGTGCTCACTGCATTACACATTGTGCATAATTTTATTCATTACAACCAAATGAATACTCACACCCAAAGTGTGCGTTCTTTTTCCCTGCTTATTGCAGTTAAACAGTCAAAGACACACAAGAAAAATCTCTCATTGAAAACGAGGTTGCTTGCTTTGTTGTTGGCATACTACTCTGAATTTCTCAAAAGTTGCTGTTTGTTGTGTCACAATCTGGGTGCAAATTCTAACACACTCATAACAATTCCTAACTCTTTTACGTTTTGAGGATTTGGCTGCTAATTCGGATGAGTTTGTACTAATTCATTAGTACATTTTCATCCAATCTGTTTATGGTTTACAAGCTGTGTAGGTGTGGACCTGTATGCTTACTGTACGTTCACACCACCACCGGCGAGAGCGGCAAAATTCGCTCTTGCCGCTCTGTCAACGACGCCGTGGAAAGATTCGTGGACGCTCTGATGCTTTGACGTAGATCGAATGCGTGATTTTTTTTAAAACGGTATGCAAACAAGCAAACAAAAATGTCGGTTATTTTTGCAGAAAATTGATCGATGGAAATAACTTTAAAATTATAGTGACATGTTTGCTAATGAAATAAACAAATTAAAAGCCATATGTGTGGTGTGGCTTTTGTGTTCATGATTAAGTGCTATTATAATTTGCATTCCCGCTGAAAAAGTGTTCTATCACGAAAATCTTGCCTATAAATAGTGTTGCGTGCCCTCTTATCAAATTCAAATTATCAACCTCCTCTATTTTGCTTGGGAACTAATGTGGCCGGAACCAAAGTTTACAGGACTACATTGTCTGGGATTCTCTCAAACGGAGCACTTCTACATTCCGATTGGTTGCCGCCGGTTGCCGCTGAACCGCGTCATTGCTTATTACCATAAAGTTGAACTGATTTCAACTCTCCTCGCCGCTCTTGCCGTCCGAAACGCGCCGCTCTCGCCGGAGCTCGCCGCCGGCTCTCAATGAAAATGAATGACTTCCGGCCACTTTGACGCTCTCGCCGGTGGCGGTGTGAACTTACAATTATTGTCTCACAATTGTATGTTTCCATGTGACTTACTTCATACAAATTAATTTGAAATCACGACATCACCTCCTTAAATTGTCAAGTTTTCCCATGAGAGTTTTCTCAGGTTGGCAAATTATATTAATCCACAATGCCACTCTGTATTACATTGGAAAAAAATATGATCTTTTTGGTAGTAACTATCACTTTGAGCACTATTTAGATATATGAAAAGACTACTTTGTGTACTACAGGGAACTTTGCACCACTACTGCAATTTGCTGCAACAAAGCAACCAGAAGATTTCAATTGCAGGTGTCATGAGCAACATAGACTGATGGCAATGCAGTGAAGTAGAGTTCTACTTAAAGCAAATACCAAATGGGAATGCACACAGTGGAGCCTATGTCACCTGATACAGTTAGATATTGCAGTCAAGCATCACCTAGCCATACAGAAACTTGTCGACCCACAATCAGTGTGAACGGCCATTTAGACTGGTGTGAAGTTTATACCTGGAAGAGGAGATGTCAGTGCTCCTTCCTCTCCACTGGCACTGAAGAAGACATCCAAGGTCTCCTGATCAGAGATGTCCATAAGATCCATCTGTTCTAGCATATCAACGTTCACCTCCATTGATGAGATGCTTCCTAAAGGAGCTGCAATTGAAGGGTCAGACACAACCAATGTGATCTTATGAGAATACGTATGTATTTTTACGTAAAGTGTCGTTCTATCATACGTTTTATATGCGCAGAAACGTATAATACAGACGTATTTACAGTACTAAAATGTAAAATATTTATGTATTGACTGCACAAAATCGTCATTTATTTACGAATGAACAAATCCACCGACGTGCACATTTGTACGTATCACAATTTATGCATTTTAACATCGTAGCATTATGTTTTAATTAGCAGTCTTATTAATTAAGTTTTCAGTCGCATTTATCGATATGATACTTATAAATATTAACATTTTGCTCGTTTCGCCTGCATGGTGTTAAACAATACAATATAAAACCTTAAAAATAAATTCTTTAACGTTAATCGTTTAACCGTTTTCTAATAGTTTATTTACCTTGAGACACATAAAGCGTTTTCAACAAAATTCACAAAAGACATCAGTTTTATTAGTTTGATGTAGTCCAAATCTTTAGAATCCATAGTTGTATGCAAGAAACAACTCCTAATTCAGCCTCTTATCCAGTCGTGACCTTCGTCCCTCAGACCTTCGTTCTCAGCAGTGACCGTACATGTCAAACCTAGTGCTAGTGATGAATTCAAATTCAAATATTGCGCCCTTGAGAAGCGATACGTCATGTTTTACGGCAGTGATATCAAACGTTCATTGGCTCTTCCCTGCTTCGTCATAGAATGACATGATAGAATGCGACATGAAGGACTGTGAGACGGTTGGTTAATCATTTGAAATGGAGAAGCGCGAACCGAAGCCGGATGAACATTTTCATTAGTAATTTAATTTATGCTCTAGACTGTACTTCGTACAAAACTATTACAATACTGCCAGAGAGAAGACTGCGACTGCAACGCTTCATCATGTGAACGGCTTTTGGTATCGGTTTTGCCATTTTCGCAATAAATAAATTATTGTGATTAATTGTCTGTTAGTTATGTTTTTTCTTCATAATTGTAGTTTGTTACGTAGTTTTAAGGAATTGTTATGGGTAGGTTTAGGGGTAGGAGTAGGATTGGTGGCTCAAAATAGATTTTAATGCTAACGTTATATTGTTAAAAAAACTGCCCTTTCCCAACACCGTTTTATCCTTTTTTATATTATGTATAAAATGGGTATGTTTAGGTTTGGGATTAGGGTTACGGGATCTTACATTTATCTATAAAATGGTAAAAAGGGAAATTATACAGATATCTGTATGATATAGAATATACGTAAATAGTTTATGTTTTTTAGCTGTAAAAACGTAATAATGTTACGTTTAAATGTTGCAGATACGTCTAAAGTATACGTTTCAGCATCTATCAAAACGTACTAAAAAGTAAGTTTTCTATCTTTGCAAAAACGTAAAATACCTACGTATTAACAATGAGACCAGGCTGACACAACATGTGAGATGAAAAGAAAATGATTAGATGTGAATATGGCATATATGGCTACTTATAATCTTCTTGAAAGTAGGTTTCATCTATATCATCTTTTTTTTATCTTTTCTTTTATTTCCTATATTCCCCTTATCCCTTGTCATAGTCTTAGATAGTTAAAGGTGCCATCTGTAAAAAATTGAGGTTAAAATATCCCAAAAACGAGCTACACGCATCAAAAGAATGAGAAGAAATAAGGTTGATGATGTCATTAAAAAAATGACAAGTTACAGTGCTGCCGAGATATTAACCTGAATTAGCATGCTAAATTACTAGCCTCGGCCCGGCAGGTGTCGTAATACCAGTTTCGGCCATGGGAGACGGTATGTGGGCGGGCAACATAACCACCAGCCAAACTGCAATACATGAATAACGCACGGCTTGTGGGTGTACTTGAACCTGATGAAGTACAGTCCAATACTACATTTCAGTTCAGGGAAAGTTCGTGTTCTTTTACCATTAGCTAGTAGAGATGATCGGTTCACGTGCGCTAGGGATCTGTGGTGTAACATTTACAAGCGCCAAAACTGTATTGTTTGAATTGCGTAATAAAATTGACAGAATCTGAGAGCTGAGATTTTTTTATCTATATATCATAACTAATCTGCTATGTCTAGTCTGTCGGTCTCCGTGTCCTTTTCTGTGCGTGACAATATTGATGTGTGGCGTGAGAGCGTGTGAAGTGTCAATTGCGTGTCTCGCGGTGAATTCGTGAGAGTTGGCAGCTCTGAATGGCGCTAGCTTGGTCAACATCAGCGAATGCTGTCTTATGAAATGTAAATGTAATATGAACAAAACGAATAGTGTAAAACTTCAAAGCCTGTGCTTTTATTTGTATTTGAGACAGTAGTCTATGAGACGGTCTGTATCATTTAGTGTTGAGATGTTGTTCATTGAGTCTCTAATCTCTAAAAAGCTCCAAATGCTCCACATGAAACTGCGATCTTCCAACCTTTTACTATCGTGTTAATTGATTTTATTAATATGTGCGAGGGAGAGAGAGCAAGACAGCGCTCGCTCCTGTTGTTTGAAGACATGAGAGTGCAGGCAGCCGAGGCACAACTCACTTTCTAGAGGTACACTGCCCCCATCTGGTATGGAATATGGAGTATGATTTGATGTTTTTTTGCCAGATGGCACCTTTAAACGACTTACTCCAGACCAGTAGGTGGCGCAAATGTCTTAAATTAAAGATTGTGGTCTTTCAACCTTTAAAGGAGAACTCCGGCGAACAATGAACCTTTGGTCTAATAAAACATCGCATCGGTACCTAGTCAATCGTTCTCTGAGATTTGTTTTCATGATAATCGAATGTAAAGAGTTTTATCTCTAAAAACTGTTTAGCGTATAATGCTAGTAATGGGGGCATTGACTAAGTAAAAAGAAATCGCTAGTTTATACCACTAACAAGGCTCAAAATAGCCCCACACTAACGCTGTAACATAATGAGGCTCCATACATGCAAAATGAAGCATTGAGAGCTTTGTAAGTGTACAGACCGTTTAATCAGAAGATAGTTTATGAAGACAGTTCACTTCGCGTATACAGACAGGAGCCATCTTGAAAAATAGTCTCGATAAGTCGATCCCCGAATGCCGTCAGAAGTTCGCTGAACTTCATACAGTTCAGATCACTCAGCATGACGTTCGTGGTTTGACATTCGATTAACATTCGATTATCATGAAAACAAATCTCAGAGAACAGTTGACTGTGTACCGATGTTTTATTAGACCAAAGGTTCATTGTTCGCCGGAGTTCTCCTTTAAGTGGATTTTGCTATAGACCCTATACACCAGAGAAACGTGGGCGCCGTCATCTGTAGAATACTGTCTTTGAACTTCCGTTTTTGCGGTCGCTCTGTATATTTCTATGGCATCGCTGTCAAGGACTAATTAGCTGGTGAAGTGGATTTACTTATTGTAGAGTTAACAAAAGTTATCATGAGCATTGTAATGTTTATCATAAGCATTGTAAAGCAGATGTCTTAACAAATGTCGACCGGGATTTTTTTTTACGAGCAGTTCATTCATACCTATGCAAGATCGCTGTGAAAATACAGATAGGAAGTCAAAAGACAACGAGCACAGAGCTGAAAAGGGGCGGGGCTACATAAGGTCTATAATGTGTGATATTGATCTATTAATATTGTGTGTGTGTACCTGGTATTTCCTATGTTATGGGGACCAAATGCTCCCACAAGTATAGAAATACCAGTAATTTCTTAGCTCATGGGGACATTTCTTTGGTCCCGGTGAGGTATAAATTTAATACTGTATAAAGATTTTTTTGTGATGGCTAGGTTTACTGTAGGACAATAGAATATACAGTTTGTACAGTATAAAAATTATTGTCTAAGGAAAGTCCCCTTTAAACATGGAAAAAAACGTGTGTGTGTGTGTGTGTGTGTGTGTGTGAGAGAGAAAGAGAGAGAGAGACATGATAATGCCAGTTCTTACTGTTTGAAGCTAACACAACTAACTTATGACTATAACTACATGACTCCATATCTACTTACAGATCTTGGTATAATCTTAAAATTGATGACATTTGTTGATCTTCAAGCTGTCACTCAGGCAGAGATATTTTACCTGAAGACTTTCCAAAATTTACCTGAAGACTTTGTATAGTCTAATGTATCTGTTTTAAATGAAACATTTAAGGCCCAAAATTATATTCTATTATTATTTTTCAAACGAAAAGTCGCCCATATATGTGCATGTTCAAACTCACGTCTCTTATAATCTATCTGCAGGTGTGCAGAGGAGAGGTAGACATCCACATCGTGTTGAAACACCTCCTCAAAGAATCGTTGTCTCTCTCTCAGCCTCATTTGCTGGGCCGACTCTGTGTCCGGGACTCTCTGTGCATGTTCTGTCTCCGCTATCAGCAAAAACAGGGACAGTAGTTTCAGTCATATGTTACATCAACACCCATTAACAGTATATTTGCTTATTTTCTAAATATTAAGCAACAGTTAGTTCTGCAATTCTTCGAATGGACAAGCTGCACTCTAGAACCTTCTTTCAAAAAAACAAAAAAAACAAAAAAAAACCCAACAACAATCCACCAGCAGGGGGCATAAGTTACTTCAAGTCTCTATACACTTTTTGTATGTTTGTTTTGTGTCTCAATACATTGAGATCTAATTTGTTTTTGACCGTTTGTTCAGAGCAATAATTAGAGTTGTGTGTTTCTAATAAAATTCGGACCAGTGGATCACAGTTTTTGTGTGCCTTGTTTACTTCAGCCTATAGCCTAAATGAAAGTAAAAAGGCTAGAAAGAACACGATGTGCTAAGACAAAATAAACATTTGTGAGTGTTACAGACATAATATGAACATTTTGTATCAGTTTGTTCAGAATGACTGATGAGTCAGAGGACTGATAAGCATTCTTTACTTAAGCCTTATTTGACAAGCTGGAATGAATGTATATAGGTAGGTGGGGTGTATTAGGCTCTTAAGTAGATTATTCCTATTAAATATAGGACATCATGCAAACGTTTATTTGTGCGTCTGTCGAACTTTCTCGAACAAGCAGTAATCAATGAAGCATGTTTTACCATATGTTTTTGACAGTAATATTGGCTGGCCAAGAAAACTGACCTTTGACCTGGAAGCAGAGATATTAGTCACCGGTCTATATGAGACCTCTCAACGTGTGTTAGCATACACAACTATCTCGAAATAGACAATATGAGTCATCTACCACCCTGAACCCAGAAACTAAGCAATTCAAAACATAAACATCCAGTTCTAGGTAAAGCAAAGCTGGAAAACTTAATATCAGTTTTCATCAGATATAGTTGTTTAAACATTTAATAGAGGTAGTATTTAGAGTGCATTCATTGTGCTTTTTTTATATTGTATAAGTTTTTACATTACACACAAGCAACAATTATGGGTTGTCAGTATGACATGTTCAGCCTAACATTTGTGTTTCACTGTCCTTGAAAAGCGACACGGGGCAAGTATCAGCTCAACTGAAATAACAGCCCTAAAACTTGCACCACAGCTATAAAGTGTTAGAGAATGGCATTCTTTTTCCAAGTCACAAGTCATTAATACATCCAGCCTCACAGCGACAGTGTCCCGCAACTCAGCCATAATTAGAAGGCACAGGCTGAGCCTGAAATAATTGGATCTGCCTTTTAAACCTGGTCTAAAATAGGAATAATGTAAAGATTATCTGGTTTGTGCTAGGAGAGCTGATCGCATTCAGCTGCTTCAAGACGTGCTGTAGAACAAGGCCGCCAACGGAGGGGGATAACTGTGAACATTGTCCCAGGCTAAGTATATACAGTAGTCAACATTTGAAGTGGATCAAAAAAGTTCATCAAAGTTGTCGGGTATTGTTCAAAATTCATGTAGAACTTGGATGAAATGTTTTGATCCACTTCAAATGCTGACTACTGTATATATATACAGTATATACATATATATATATATATATATATATATATATATATATATTGTGTGTGCGTTCATGTGTGTGTGTTTTAGGCTAGCCATGTGATCTCAACATGGCAGCAGCACGTGGGGGTGCCATTATAAAATAAAATCAAACGTCTTTTTCTGGCCCTCCATTTTTTTCTACTTTGGATATGTGTTGTTTGTTGTCATATTTGATACATCAGACTTTTGTGATGTATTTTTGGATAAAGTATGATATAGGAGAGAATCCAGAGATATAAAAAGACCAAGAGTAAGATGAAATTCTGATAGCTTGTAATATAAATCAATCAGGTCTTTTTACAGTCTAGCACATAAAATGAATATCTCCCAATAATATGTTATTTAAATGCTTAGTTTTATGATCAAACCTCTGTATTTTTTTATTTTTTATTAACTATAAAAAAGTTATTCTGACATTTACTTAATTAAAATCAGTAAAGATAAAGGTACCATGATTGGAATGGGAAAATTAATTAAACCAAAAGGCTTTTTTGTGTTGGCCAAAAAAGTGTCAAGTCAATCAGATGACAGAAGGCAGTAAATTACAAAACAGGATTTTCAGCAAAGTTCATGTTGATAATTTAGAGGCCTTAGAAATGTGTGTAACAAATATGTTAAAGATTTCTATAGGCTTAAACTATCAGTGCACCTTCGAAACAGACCAAGCACCCAGTACAGCATTTATGAACCATGTATTAGGCCATTGGAAAATATGCATTTGTACAATATATGAGTTCCCATACAGCAAAACTCCTGGTGTTAAATTATCACTGCCAGTTTTTATTTAGGGTCCTTTCACACCTACCTAGTTTGGTCTTGACTTTCAGACTTTTTAGTTTGGTCCGAATCAAAATTCCAAGTGTGAAACCTACCCTGGGGACCATGGTCCAGACCAAACAGATTAAATTTGGGCCCCATCCACACGAAGACTCGTTTCGCTGTATACATATAAATTTTTATACGTTTCGTCCACACGGATCCGGCGTTTTGGGAGAGTGAAACCGCCATTAAATTTTGTTTTGTATAAAGCCCTTCTTTGAAGTGAATTTTGTTTTTTAATACATTTTATCTTTATTTTAATAATTGTTTCATCAACCAGTTACCTGGATTTATTAAAAGAAGCAAATATAGGCTATAGCAGAATATAATCAGGACATGGACTTTCCGGCGCGATATAACTTACATTGCCCGTGAACTGGAGCTCTTCTCATAAATAATCCGACACTCTGAAATATATAGAAATCTTGAAATGTCTACGTTAAAACAACATTGACAAACAACAATTCAAAACGAAAAGAAACAGATACTCTCTCTTAGCCTAATCCGTATGAAGTGCATTAGCCTACTCCGTGGGCGCGTTCAATACTGCAAAGTCAGCTTCATCTCCTTTTTTCAGTCAAGAATGACACAGAAAACATTAGTTTATTAATAAACAATTAAAATGTCAATATTTGACACATTTACTTTTGCCGGTTGTTTGTGGCAAGCTTTCTGAGTCTGCTAACTAATCGAATATCGTGACTCCCTATTTTGTACCAGGCAATTTATGGTTGTTCAATAAAGTTCTTGGTAAAAAAGAATTATTTCATAGCCTTTTATTTTACTCCCTACAGCGTGCAAGGTTTTATGCGCATGCTCTAAGTCTTCTTCTCGCATTTTTAATCTCTATGGCAGAATTACAGCACCACATACTGGTCTGGGATGTATACTACATCGTTTTCAGTCGGTTTCAGTGGTTTCGTGTGGACGCAGTTATTTTTTGAGACACCGCCGTGTTTACAGCCTTTTTTTTTAGAACGAGAAAAAAAAAATATCGGATAGGGGAAGCTCTGGCTTCGTGTGGACGTGGCCATGGTTCGATGAAAAGAGGTAGTCTTGGTAGTCTGAACAAAGGTTTGGTCCGTTTCTGGTGTGAAATCATTTATGTATGGTTCGGACTTTAAGATCTCTTACAGGTTCTGGTGGTTTCCGCATAGCCGGAAAAAAAAGAAGGTTGGATTATCAGTGAATCCCAGTTGTCTCTGAGGAAAGTTTGTAAAACTATTCCGTGTAAAATGATCACTACAGAGGGGGGTGTTGGCAGTGATCCTCAGCTCTTCATCAAGGTAGGTTGGCTCTCTAAAGACCTCTTCTTGATGTGATCGTTTTTAGGGAATTTCAATGAAGATACCGATCTGTATTATACATGATCGCATCCAGGTAGCCTATGTATGTGTCGAAGGCATAGCTACAGTAGGTAGCAAACAGGCTCAGCTGTAGCAACTAATAGTACTGACAGTCACTCGCGATTGAGCGGTGAATGCGAATGTGCTCGGGGGGAGTGTTATTGTGTGTTAGGGGAGGGATCAGACTCTGTGCGTCATCAAATAGGGGCGTGTCCAGCAGCTCATGGGCTCCAGTGCGTCATCGAGCCCTGTTTTAGCCCCGCCCAAACAATCCGTAAAATTGCAATGGTGAAAAACTGTTTAACGGTCTAACTCCACATTTCAGTACTTCACAGTTCTAGTCTTTGTAATATGTTTTAGCAATACATATGTAACATTTATAATGTGTTTAGAACTTTTTTTTGTACAATTGCCTTTACAGGGACTTTAAGGGGAGTTTCTGTGCAGTAACAAAACCAACTGCCAACATGTGTTTACATTATAGACAGTGCAGAGACCACCCTCCACCACCAATGTTTGAGCAGATGTCTCATATATTTACAAACCTTACATTTCTTTCATTTGTGGGACACCTACATTTTTTTTGTCTCAATGTTTTTTTTCCCCATACAGTTAAAGTCATTGGGGTGAGTAAATGAGTAAATGATGACAGAATTTTATTTTTTGAATGAACAACCCCTTTTAGACATTCCCAAAAAGAAACATCACAAATATAAACTCTTTAATATCTCATTTGTTCTCTTTGGATAGCAAAACATGTTTGCACCATGGAGAACCTGGGTAAGGCTGTGATGATTGTAGTTCCTTTTTATTTATGTTAAAGAATCCATGAGTCATCACATTTGACAGGCAAACCGCCAGAGTAGGCAGTTGTGTAAGACGGGGTCATTCTCTCTCGCCTGGTGGTGGCTGTGAGGACGACGGGGGGCATCCAGGGGCCACAGCGCTGTCACTCTGAATAACTAATCAGATCTGCTCTAGCTGACCATTGCAGCCATAATGGGCAAAGTGGTAGTTGGAGTCCCATTTGTTTTTCCATCTGATATTGCTGTGTGGCTGAGCACAAAGTATGTGTAAACAGGTTTGTTTTAGGACTGGGAAATAAATTGAACTTTTAACATATATTTGTGATGGTTTTTTGGCAATATAAAATTAAGCAACATTATGAACAACGCAATGATTTTAAAGCTCTTTAACAGAGATGTTGTAATCTCTCATTTAAACTTTAATAGTAAAAAAGTTTGTGAATTTGATTCACTTC